AGGGGGGAGAGGAGGGGCTCGAGAACTGGAGGTGGACGGAAGTCAGATGAGTGCACACGTGGTGCAGCGATTCTGTTTGTGCCAAGCCCTAGCTGGGGACGCCCCTCATCCAGGCCTTTCTGCATGTGAGGCTGCGTCTCACAGCGAGGACGGCAGGGTCGTTTTCATAGTCGATAACTGCAGTTCTTCCTCACAAGGGTTTGGCTAAATGAAGCTAAGCCTCACTAGTGTCAAGCAAAACTGTTTGTTTGTTTGTTTGTTTGTTTGTTTTTTATTGCGTTTATTGTTTTGGTTTTATTTTCCCCTGTAATTTACTTCTCAAACGGTTCAGAGTGCCAAGGAACTCACCTTATGTTTACAGACTGTCCACGAGGTGGCACTGTTGTTCTCTTCAATGGTAGAGGACAGTTGAGAGGCAACCCTTTTTTCTCGGGGAGTGCACAGTCTTGAAGGAGAGACAGAACAGATGAACATGTGTTATGTATATAAATATGGTTAGCATAATTGCATACAATTCAGTTTTCATTACAGCGAATTTTAAGGCATTGTCCATATCTCTGTTAAAGTGGAATTTTGTGGTATTGAATATTACATGAAATGAATGGACCATTGGCTGGGACGTGGAAATATTTTTGTTAAAATGCTATTTGTTTTAACAGGATTTGATCTGAACATATATACATGTGTCAGTATATATCATACACATGAATCTAATAGCTGGGGACAAGTTGGCCAAGTTGATTGTGTTAGTCTCTGGTAGACTTGGATTAAACCTGGCATTAGTTCCTTACACAGACCCAAACTTAAGAGTGTTGGGGGAGAAACAGGTCCACGTGTGTATTCCTACTTCGATTTAATAATGTGTGTGGATCAACTTGCTAATGAAAATGCTAGTTTGGTGTTTAACTTTTATTGTAGATGATCTCAATTTGAATTTTTACTCCACTGAAATTGACAGTCAACATAGGACTTCTTTTGATTGTGAAAACCATTAATTCTATAAGAATTGTCTACAGTTTTGACTTTTTGATGCTTCTTACTGTGACTGTTGTACCTGTCAGTATAGGGAAAATGTAAAATGTTTGTGGTCTCTGGCTCCTTTTGGTTCAGTGGAAAAAGTGATAATTATGATATGCTTTTCTAAAAATCATGGTAAATGTTTAGTCTGCAATGTCAATTTCTGCAGGCTAAGTTTGTGGTTTGTAAGAACTGTTGTTAAAGGAAAATTTTATACCATTTGAAATAGAGGCAGATTGTACTTCAAAAAGGATGATAAACATTTGTGATCCATTTGGTGAGGTGTCTAAGCAATTAAAAATTTTGAAGCATTTGGCTTCTTGGCAATGGTTTATTCATTTGTCTTGTCCCCAAGTAAGGATGATAAGTCATCATGGACTGTACGTGTGACAGACCAGACCAAAGGTCTTGGGAGATGTGGAAGCCCCGGAGCGTAGCTGAGGCTAAAGCCCAGTGACAGAGTGGAAAGGGAGTGGTCACAGGATTCAGACAGCCCTGCCCCTAATAGCATGTGAGCCCACTTTTCGAAACCTCAGTGTCCTGTCTGTGTGGGAACACTACTACCACTACTCCATCAGATATTGCGAAGATCAAAGAATGTATATAATATGCCTGGCATCTGGTGGGTATTCTGAGATGGCAGCTTTAACAACAACGAAAAAGCCCAGAGAGGCAGGAAACACCTGCTTCTCCCGAGGTAATGAGCTTTATTGCCAGGAAGTTTTAATTATTCACCCACTAATTTCCAAATTGATTTATCCTGACATCATATAGGTAGGTGTGCGTGGCACTTTGTTGGCACAGCAAAATTTTGGACTCTGTGGCTTGAGCATCATTCTACTTCATTTCTGACCAGATGCTTAGGTCAGTGTATTTCAGGCTACAGGCATCTGTTGACAGACTGTTGCTGTCAGCGATGGCATTGTTGGTTTTTTTTTAAGGTTTCTAACTTCAAATTTTATAACTATATAGATCTGTGACTAGGAAGGGGGAAGGGCCAGCAGGGGTGGGTGGGGAGAAGGAAGTTTCTTTGCAGCTGTTCTTTGAAATGCGTTTCTTAAATAATAAAAGTTTCTATAATTGTATGATCTAAGCAGCTGTGTTAGAACTGGCTGTAGTCAAGGGCACTGAACTGACATTACACATTTGAGTTTGATTTTGATACAGTGTTTTTTACATATTGAGCTTTGAAACTTGTGCCTTTTTAATTGTTTTAATTATTGAAATTTTTCCAGACCTTCATCTGGTGCCTATAATTAGCAACAGCAGCACTTGTTCAGCGTCGTGCGTGCAGTATTCTGGCCTTGTTTTCTGAGGCCATGCTATGTCTTCTTGCTGCCTTGGCACGCAGGTGGTGGTGGGATGGGGGAGTTTCAGCACCATAGAGTAAATGAGAGCCAGACCTTGGTACTTAAGAAGATGCCTAGTTTTAACACCTCACATCACTTTCTAGCCCCGGCACATGGACACCTTATTCAGTAACTTCTTTGTCCTCAATAGGCTTGAAACCCAAAAGTCGCAAGGTCTGCATGGCTTTTGGGGATAGCTCTTAGGTGCCCAAACAGGAGTTGTGTTGATTGCTGTTCTTCAAACATTTAAGGCAGTGGTTCTCAACCTGTGGGTCGCGACCCCTTTGGGGATCGAACGACCCTTTCACAGGGGTTACCGGGTACTCGTATGTGGGCGTATCTGCATGTGGGCCTGGAGACGGATAGAGGAGCGGTGTCTCGGTTCCTAAGACCATCGGAAAATATGTTTTCCGATGGTCTTAGGCGACCCCTGTGAAAGGTTGAGAACCGCTGATTTAAGGGGATGAGACTTCTAACCAAGATACTAAAGGGGCCTCAGCACTTAGCTAGAGGAGGTGTGTAATATTTTTTCTCAGAAAACCACAAAGAAGTGGAACGCTGCTTAGCTTCCTTGACCAACAGTATCAGCTAAGGAGATTTGGAGATGAGGGAAGGAGAACAGAAACTGACCCTTACTGAGTACCTGTTCTGTATCTGGCTCCTTAGTAACCACCTCTCAACCTGCCCAGCCAGGTGGGCAAGTCCCTTCCCCACCAAACGAGGGTACTGAGAGTACCTGGCTCAGAGGGTTATCGTGCAGATAGATAGTGTGAGCTAATAATCCATTTCAAGCATTTAATATCATGTCTACCTTATGGAAGACTGAGATCCAAAAAGGAAAACTGGTTTGCTTCAACCCAGGTTACCTGGCTACAGCAAATGCATTTTCCAAGGGACTAAAACATGCTGTCTCTTAGAAGGATGAAGTGAATTTATAGTATTATCCAAAGGAAAGAAATCAAATTTCATAGATTTCACTGAACTGTTGCTGAGTTCGAATGATGGCCTTTGGACGAGGAGGAAATCTGTGTTAATAAGAGATTTCCTTATGCAGAAACTCACTCCAAGCCCAGTGGGGAGCTATTGAGGAGGAAAAAATCAGAGAAATAAAAGGGGTATCATTGCTATAAAGCAGTAGTTCCCAGTGTGTCAGAATTACCTGGTGGAACCTCTTAAAAATACAGATTCACTACCTACAGATTCTGATTGAGTAGATCAGAAGACTGTCCAGGGAATCTGTTTTTGTTGCTGTTGTTTTTGTTTGTTTGTTTTTAAAATCACTAACCCTGAATGATTCATGTACAACCACACAGGCTCCTGAGAACAAGCTCATAGACCACCGGACCAGGTAGGGCATTTGGGCTGCTTTCCCAGTTCATACAGAGACGATGGGGATGGTGCAGCCATTGGGGCCCGAAAAGGCAACTGTCTAATGCGTTCTTGTCTGGCTATTTGTTTTCATCTCTCAGAGAGCAGAGGACTCATGGGGGGGGGGGTTATAACCAGTTAGGAGGATTTGGTTGATGATATGGAAGTAATGTAGACCTTGAAAAGTGACTGTTCTAATATCAAGTGTAGAACTAGACAATAGTCAGCTAAGTACCCCAGCATTAGAAGAGTTCAGAGAAGATAAGTTTGTTAGCCCATGGATAGAGATTCTAAACATTAACATGATTAAAGAGGGCGGAGAGATTCTGAAATGTGATGTTTTGATGACTACTTTGTCAGTCCTAGGATTGGAGAGGCACAAAGAAGAGCCCATGCGATTATCCATGGATTTCCCTGATTATAAATAAACATGGGCAGAAAGATGGAAGAAATGGGCACATAATCATGGAGATACCGAAAAAGGTAGTCTCGGCCTTTGAGAATGGTATCAAGGCAAAACCCTGAATGATGTAAAGTTGTCCAAAATGGTGCAGTAACTTGGGAGAGTTGAAAACAAACAAAAAGATCAACTGTTTGGAGCCCATTGTGAAGAATTGAAAGGATGGTGTTCTTGGTATCAGTGGTATAGTGATAATAAAAAGAACCAGCATATTTTCACTCCTCACTTAACTTCCTTTGTTTCCCTTTCCCCACCAAGAATAATAGTGTTAAAATCAGAAAGGACAGAAAAATTGTAGTCCCAGAAAGCTAAGACGATATTTAGGGAACACATAGCTCCTGCAGACAAGTGGACCTGAAAATATTGCATGCCAGGATAGTGGCAGAAGCTGTAGTTGTCATTTTCAGAATTGTGGGTCATTGAAAACTAATCGTAAACCATAGGTGGAGCTCCTGGGTACAGTTGTGCCCTTTCCACCTTGTCAGCTGTGTTTGGTACCCTGCTGCATGATGGTACCCTGAGATGACTGATGGGCAGATTTCCTGGTTTTAAGAACTGGAAAACTGGAGGTGTATTTGGGGGATATTAGCTGGCAAATTTGATGTTATACTCAAGCAGAATTCTTTTTTTTTTTTAAGATTTTATTGGGGAATTGGAGGAGGGGAACAGACAAGTTGCTGTCCTTTTGTTCTTCAGTCTAGTTGTGGAGGACGTCGCTTCGCTGGCCCATGTTGGTATTGTGATCATTGCACTCTTCCCGGGTGAGGCAGATCAGTCGCCAGCCACTGGATGGCCGTTCAGGGCAGCTCTTGGCAACTCTTGGGGCTGTCAGCCACTCACAGTAGCACAGCCGCCCACTGCAGCAGGGGCTGCAGCCTACGCCATCGCTGGCGACTCATGGCAGCCCAGCTCCAGGTCGAGCTTTTATTCACCATCCTAGCTGTAGAGGGCGCAGCATCACTGGCCCTCATGTGGTATCCGAACCGGGACCCTGCTGCTCAGAGCTGGTGTCCCAAGCCAACTCCTAACCAACGCACCACTCGGCCGGCCCTCAAGCAGAATTCTTAAATGGATTATCAGAAGTGAATCAGCAGATGAAAAAACTGTATAGGTTTGTGTACATAATGTTAAAAGCTGTTATCTCTGAGAGGTGGGAACTAGGGATTTTAAATGGTTTGCTTATATGCATTTTATAATTTTTTAAATAATGAACATGGGTTATATGTTAAAAGGGGCCACAAAGCAGATAGTGCTGACTTGTTAACAAAAAATGCAATACCACCTTTATGTAGTAAGCACCAGCAAGGGAACACACGGGGCCAATACACCTGATTTTCCTGTTGGTAAGGTTACCAGACCGGTAGGTCAGAGAAATGATGTAAAGGTGGTCATATCTTCATGGGACAAAGTGTCTCCAGATATCCCCGAGGACTGAATAGAGAGATTTGGGCTGGACAGTCGTACATCCACATGGTTACAGAATGACTCAGTGTTGGCACCTTGTGAGTAGTTAATGAATGGATCAAGGGTAACCTGGAGGGAAATATCTAAAATCATGGGTGCTGTCCTTGGTTCTGACCCATTTAACATGTTTGCCCACAAGCTTGGGAATAAATTAAGACTTACTCCATTTGCCTACCATGCACATCCGGTGTGGAATACCGACTCTTCTGGAGGACGGAATTGGAATTCTACAGACTGAAATGGGACAGTCAGACAAAGCTTTAAAGGTGAATTATAGTAAGGACAACTCTTACACCAAGCTGACCCCCACCTCTCCACTAGCCATATAAACACAGAACTAGCGGGAATTGTTCTAATAGATGTTCTGGGGGGAGAGGCCTGGGATTTTGACTTATTGCCATCTTGGCAGCCTACTGTGATAGGACTGTTAGATGAAGGCAATGTGAGCTTCGACTGCCTCTACTGTCTATAATGACATGTGCAAGAACAGTGAGTGGTCCCAGTGTAGGTTTCATGATCAGATCATGACTCGGGTATTAGATCTCATCCAGTATAGGAGAATTAGTACAGGAAGGCCTGTAAACCATAATCAACAGTGTAAATAGTCATTCTTAGAGTTGAAGCAAACTTTAGTTTGTGAAGCATTTTTTTGTGTATCACCTCATTTTGATGTTTTCAAGATGGGGCAGAGATTACTGTCCCCATTTTATACAGGTGACAAAAATGAGGCTCAGAAAGTTGAATGATTTACCTGTACCCTGCCAAGTTAGTGCTCCTGTACTGCTTCTGTTTCTCTTGAAAAAGAGAACAAATGATCAGCTTGTATGGTGCTTTGTTGTCTTTAAAACTTTTCATAAAACTCCTTTGAGCCTTACCAATAAAGGACAGTTATTGCGGGGATTACCATTTTATATGGTAAAAAACACGTATTTGTTTCATGTCAGAGAACAGCTACGTGGTGGACCTAGACTTGAAATTGGAATTTTCCGCCTGTATGTTTAATGTTTAATATTCTGTACACAGAATAGGCGTGGGGATGAGCTTGTATTTCCTGTAGCCACAGAAGACGTGCCTGGAACCGCAGGACGGGCGTTTACAGGAGGCAGCAGCGCTGACCGTAGTGATCTTGTGTTGTGACTGTCAGGCAGAGGCCGAATCTGGGTTGTCTTTGAGAGGACGCTGGCGTTGTGTGGGATAAACCATTTAAGGGTCTAGAATTTATAGACACGTGGTTCTTGCTTTTGAGAATTTTATCTGCACAGATGGAGAAATGATTGACAAAAATACATCTAAGTACACCTGACTTTAACTCTTAGATTGTCATTTAACTTTTTATAAGCTTTTTAAGATGTCAGTGTTTCACTTTTTGTCTCCTTAGCCCTACGGGATTCACACTGGTCATGGATTAACAGGATGATTTGTTATGAGAGATAGTAAATCCGAGGGGAAAGAACAGAAACTCAGGACAAAGATATCGGAGTTCCACTCTTGGCTTTACTACTCTGTAGCTGGGAAACCTTGAGTGCTTTACCTCCCTGTGCCTCATCTGTAAAATGTGGGGCGGCATTACCCCATAATGGTTTTAAAAGAAAATGAAAATAACTCTTGTATCATAATACCTGACAAATCCAGAACTGTCCGGATCAGCTTTTACACACAAGCACTGTTGCCATCAATTGTTTTATCTTAAAAAACCAGAACCAAAAACAAGAGTACAGTAAGTCCCCGACTTATGAACAAGTTCCGTTCCGGGAGAAAGTTCGTGAGTCAGATTCGTTCGTAAGTCCAACGAAGTGAGTCTTCGCGCTTCCTAGCAGTCCCCTCCACATCACCACTGCTTTTCTTCTTGCTTCCGGACACCCTGGGCTCTGATTGGACACTGCACTACTGTACACTATCGCACTGTACAGCAAGCACACAGCAGCACAGCTGTGACAGTGGCCGGCAGACACGTGAGCTACTTCCGCGACTTGTTCGCATCTACGAATGTTCGTAATGCGAGATCCATTCATGTCTGTGAAAATTCGCAACTCGAATGTTCGTAAGTTGGGGACTTACTGTATGTGTTTACATGCTCGTGCACGTGCATATCTGCAGACCGATTGCTGCTCCTCAAGTGTGGGGCCTGGATCAGGGTTTCCTTATTCCCATTATCCTTTTGGAAATGGTGACTGGTACACTCCCATCTCCCTTCCCATTCCCTCATTGTCTTTTCTCTTTTGTAGAGCAAGGCCTAGATCACATAGCAGAAAACATTCTTTCCTACCTGGATGCCAGGTCTCTGTGTGCCGCAGAGCTGGTATGTAAAGAATGGCAGCGGGTGATCTCCGAAGGAATGCTTTGGAAGAAGCTGATTGAACGAATGGTGCGCACTGACCCTCTATGGAAGGGGCTTTCAGAAAGAAGAGGGTGGTAAGTACTGTGGCTGTTTGTTCCTTTGGGGTGAAAAAAATGTTTTTTGACCTAGAGTCAGTTTGATTACTCAAGAAACCAATTATACTTGCCAAATGTGGTGGCCTATTTTAAACAGGTGGGGAGAGACCAGTGGTCAAGAGTTGCGGGAACAAAAGTTAAAGCTGTTAGGATTTTTCCTTCTGATATGTGTATTTCCTTTATAGTTATTAACTGTTGGGAAGTGTTGTATAGTTTGAGTGATTTGGCTTTTGAAACCTATGTATTTATGCTTTTCCTTTCACATTTTTCTTAGGCGGTAGTACCATTACCAAGAGAGAGATAAGAAAAAAGAAAATATGAGAAAGTCAAATAATGCCATTATGTTATTTATTAGTGTTGCTGGTTGAAGATAATGGGAGGCACAGCAGGCAGGCTTTTTTAGAGAAAATCCATGAACTTTAAAATACAGCTTTGTCGCTCTGTACATGTTAGTAACCTGGCCCATTTAGCACAGAGAAAGAGCTACAGATGGAAGGAAGTACCGGGGGTAGCAGTGTGAGCGAGAGTGAGGGCTGTATGTTCGTTAAGGGGGGGAGTTTGACGTGTACTAAGTTTGATTTTCCACAAAGCTACTTGAGCACTTTTTGTGAAAGTATAGAATAAAAGACTAGATTATTGTGTGTTGGGTATTCAGAAAATAAAAGTCCGGGATCGTGGTAGAGAGCTGTAAATTGAAGTAAACTTGTGTCTCACATGTTTCAACTCAGCCATCCTGCTTTTAAATTGTTAAAGCTCAGTGCAAGTCAAAAGACTTGAATGATACAGTATCTTTGTAAGCACCACATTTCAGTAAAATTCACCCTTTTATGTGCAAAAATGTAACATCTGTTTGTTTTTATTTGCCAGGGATCAGTACCTGTTTAAAAACAGACCCACAGATGGCCCTCCCAATTCATTTTATAGGTCGTTATACCCAAAGATTATCCAGGACATAGAGGTAACTTTACGATTTATCTGTTTTATGGGCTCTTCATGTCTTGTTCTTAACTTTTTATGTCGCCTTGGAGTGTTCTGTTGATCTAAAATCACAGAACAAGTACAGTTTTTTTTTTAAAAGTTAAACTCTTGGAACAAATGTGTCACAATCTGTATAATCTGCAGCTATTCTTCTGAGTAGATAATGTCTTTTTGTAAAAAAATGAGCTAACTTTTCTAAAACACGAAATGCTTCTGCAAGGCTGCTAGCTCATTAAAACGTTTTTCCAAACTCCGAGGCCCAGTTTTTCAGGTAAGCAGTTTTACATTGTCGAGCATATCTGGAGCACTAGAGAAGGCACAGTCTCTGTTTCCTCTGCACGTTTCCCACAATTTTTTATAAAAAATAATTCATATGTGATTGTAAGCAATAGTTAAGTGGGTTTTATAGAGCAAATTATGCTTCTGGACCATTTTGGATTTGAGTGGAACTTCACCAGACCAGTAAAACTCTGTAAACTTGATGAGAAACATCGGAGATGTTTGATATTGTTCATGTGTTCTAATTAGTTCAGTTTTATTATTTAGCCCTTTTCCTTGAACCAGGAAAGACACGCACAGGCATTTCTCATTAACTCTTTCACATGTGTTCTTGGCAGGTCCCGGTTACTTCACTATTTCCTCCTTGGCAGAAAAATTTAGCCTTCTCTCGGCAATGCTGTATCACCCATAAAGTTATACTCAGCTTCCCAAACGTGAAGTAATCCTCTCCCCCAGGTGATAGACATAAAAGTTATTGTGCCAAAGTTCATTAATGGAGAAACATGTACTTTTTTTGGAGGGTCCCTCCTTAGCCCCCCTTTGAGGCAGATGTGAGCTAATGGAATCATTTGGTTAATGGTAAATCTGAATGTGACGGGAATATCATTATTTAAAGCACAAGCCCTTGTCTTGAGGATTCTGCTCCCTAAAATGAGCTACAACGTAACCTTTTAAGGAGGGTTAAATAATTTAAAACTTCTGCCAGACAAATCATAAAGTTTAGGGATTAACTGACCCATTGGCGAAACTTTGAATAAATTGCTCCTGCAGTATTAGTAGCTGAGGCATAGTGTTAGCGCGAATCTTAGGTTGGTGTGTGTTCCGGGGAGAGGGGCTGTGTCTTACCCCTAGACTGTTAGTTGTACTAGGACGCTGCTTGTGCTGCATCCATCTTAGAAACTACTTTCTGTCGCCCCCGCCCTGCCAGTTATTCTTTACAGTCTCTCCAAATGCCCTTGAATAATTCAGTAAATCCTCTGTTATGAGAAGGATGATGTCTAAGGTCAATCATTAATAAACAGGACTTTTGGAGCAACTTCGATTGGGTTGAAGATTTGGGGACACGGTCATTTTATCTCCATGAGGACTGTGAACTCAATATGCTGTGGCGTGACAGTCTGTGACACCACCTACCTTATCCATTTCCGCAGGCTGAAATAATATTTTTCAGTTAGTAAAGGAGGCAAATGTGAGGGAAAGCAGAGCTACGGGGGAAACCCTATTTGACACAAAACCTCTATCACGGTGGTCCACCCAGCGGTTCTTACGTGTGGTTTGGGGAAAGCCACTGGTTGGCCACTAGGGTCTCCTCCAGATTTTTGTGGGCTAAATCTCTTTGCATAAGGGATGATGTTTTATACTTTGGTATATTCACTAATGGTAATAATAAAAACAATGTACTATGTATAGAGCGTTTACTTGTGCTAGATATTTTGTTAAGCGTTTTATAATACATTTTCTCACTTAACACTGTGGACAATACGTGACGAGGTCATGTCCTTATTAAAGGCGAGGAAACAGGCTCGGCAAGGCTACATAAATTGCCCAAGATCACACAGCTAGTGAGTAATAGTCAGTGGTCAACCTTATGTTCTTCTGTATTAATGCCACCGTTTTTGTACTGTAGATCACTGGTGCCTCACCAACATAGAGTTCCTGCCCTCTGTTTTGGGAGTGTGTTTTATTCTGTTCAGAGTGGACACACAGGTAGACAGCTGTGTCAGTGATCCACGGATCAAACACACGAGAGGCTCATGGGCCTCACTCTTGCCTGTGTGGCTGATACGAAACCCTCATCAGCAGAATATACTAATTACAGGTCCCCTCCTCTGAGCCCTTACAGTGTACTGTGAACCATGCTGCGTGACTTACGTAGATTATTGCAGTTAATTCTTACAGCAAGGTACACACGGTCCCCATCTGTAATGAGGGGTTTTAGAACTTGCCACATAGCCATGGGTTTTTAACCGAGGTCTGGCTAGCTTAGTGGTGGTGTTCTCCACTTTCAAAGTGGAAATGTTCAGAAGTCAAGGAGAAAGGTATGTTGTTATATGCCTCCAGACTTCAAGGTGACCTTCTCATCTTTCTCCAGTTGTGTGAGTACTCAGTGTCCTTGACTTTAGCTGACAAAGGGCATGAGCTAAGATAAGATTAGTTGGCTTTGTTTTAGCCCAGTCATGGGAAAGGTAGTGCTTTAAAGGGTGTTAATTAAGCACATTGCCAAAAGATAAATTACACCCTGAATGTCAAGTGGGTGTTCGTAACCCCCTCCCTGTTGCCCACACACAAGCTGCAGAGCTACTGTGGTTTTGTTCCCACATACTGTGCAAGGTTGCCAGTTCACTGCACCTTTTCCTTTTTCGTCCTTGACAGCTCTAGTTCACGTGCTGGCTCCTGTCATCTATCCATCCCCAGATTTGGTTTGGCTCTGATGAGCGGATGACCTTGCTCTTCCACATTGACCCACCAGAAATTGGCTAATGTTTAAAGGAAAGGAGAGAACCTGGTTTGGTGTGGCTAGCCCCTCTGACTCAGGAAATGAGGATGAGAGAAATGAATTCTGGGAGGAATAAATAAGAATTCTTAGCTTTCTGCAAAGGTTCATCTCCCAGCGTGGTCTTGCCACAGAGCTAGGGGGTTTGGAGTGCATCTGAATTGAGAAGGAATTACTGGAAATCAGAGGCACGTTCCTAAAGGAAGCAGCTCTATTTTCTTTGCTATCTAGAGTCTTAATTGTTATTATTAGCATCATTATTATTAATGATGAGCTTGCTGTTAGGTATTTTGCTACAGTGATGTAATTTAATCCTCAAATTGTCAAAACTGAGATTCTTAGGTTAAAGCCTATGCTCTTTTCACTCTACCACACCCTCAAGTGTCGCTCAGCTGAGATGGGAGTTGGTACAGTACACTCCGTCAGGCAGAGTTCTGACGCCTCAAACTTGGATTTTTCCCCTTTGCCATTTCAGAGTAGTGGCAAACTCTCATGTGAGATGCCTTTTGCCTCCTTTTATTCACTGGATTAAAGCCTTTGAAGCACCCTCCTTGGAATGGACCACTAGTGAAATGATGGTGTGTTGTATCGCACCTTTTAATAAACCACATTTTATTCACGGAAAGTGGGGAGCTTTTTTGTGGTTTACAGACTTGATATTAACATTGTCCTGACCAGAAAATGCTGAAACTTGCCCACCCACCCAGTTGTGTTTAGGCTTCTAAAAATAATGTTATTCCTCCATACTCAGACATCTGTTTTCACTCTATTGCCAATTTAAATGCCGCTGTATACTCTGTGTATCATGGCTACTTTCCCAGTATTTTGAAAATTTGCACAGGGTAAGGGGATTTTACAAGTTCTCAAAAACACGAAATATTTCTCTACAGTAGCCACACCACATGATGCCGAAGTGAAATGGCAGGTATCTGCATAATTGCAGGGGTGCACCTGTGTGTGCTCTGCTTGCCTGCTGCTGAGGTTAGTTGAATTTCATGTGGAGGCTGAGCCCCTTCCTGGGAGTGGTTGGGGAGGGCTAGGGCTCTCGGCATTAAATATCAGCCGAGACGGGGACCACCATTCCTGGCAGTTGGGTGAAAAGATTGTTTTGGTCCGTGTTCTCCACAAACAAGGAAGAAGATCCCTGCCGCCGTTCATAGGCACTCTGATGAGCACTCCACATGTGTCATCGCATTTGATCCTAACAGTTTTGAGGAAGTAGGTATTATTTTCCCCATATTTACAGAGAAGGAAACTGCAGCTCAAAAGTCCAAGTCATTTGCTAAAGCTGCTAACGGACCCAGGAGTTTTCTACCACAATGGGCTGCCTTCCATTTTTCAGGGGCTAGTTGTTCTACAAAAGACCTGGCTTGGAAGCATTCTAGTAAGAGTTGAGGTCATGAAATAAGGTGGTAGGTAGTATTTTGGGCAGGCACAGTCAGCAGGAAGTGCTGCTTTCTTTTGTGGGTGGCCTTGGGAATCGAGAAGATTGAATTAGGAATGAGACGGGCTGGTGTGCAGCAAAGCAGCCCCCTCCCTGATCTGGGTTAGTGTCTCTTTCCTGGAATTCTGAGACAGACTACACTTGTTTGGGGATTAGGGAACCTAGTAATTTTTAAAACAGCCCTAAGTGGGACTTCTCAAATGATCCATCAAGAATTACTTGCCAAACTTTTTCTTTTAAAATTCAGATATGTGTGTTAGGAAATTAGGCTCTTTCTAAGTGTTGAGAAGCTAAGCCGTTTCCTAACTTCCATTCGACTTAGAATGAAAGCCTATTGTCTAGCGGAGCTTTGGAGAGGTCCTGGCATCTGGCTCTTGTTTGAGGGTGGGAGGTAGAGAGCATGGCTCAGCCTTTCCATTGGGTGGTGGTCTCTGTCCAGACACCCCAGGGCAGATGTAACACAGGCTGATGGCGTTGCCTCAGCTCCTCTCTGCTGTATGGCTTTAGGCACAGTAAGAGGGAGGCAAGCCACCCAGTTCTAGAAAACACTGCAGAGCAGAGAGAGAACGTGTAGGGAATTCTTTTTCGTATGGGGAGTCCCCCACTCCTTCATTTTAAACTAAAAAAAAATTTCTATTCAAATTCCCATGTGATAGTAAATGGGTTTTTTCTAGTCACTGAAATATGTAGTGTTAACAAAGCCTTACTGATTCAGTAATATTTATAAAATAACTATGTCTTAAAACTAAGAACAGCGATATGAATTTAAAGAAGAACACCTGATGTGTGTGTGTGACATGCTACATACTCATCTTTGTGATACTTTGGGTTTATAGCAGCACCTCTGAGCCCCCAGAGGGTGTAGCCGGAATCTCAGTAATGAGTGCCAAGAGTCCCAGGCCGTGAGTAAGACTTGTTACCACGATGTCTGCCTCCTGAGTCAGCATTTTCCTGGTGTGCTTAGCATGCTGAGGTGTGTCAGCCACTACCTGAAAATACCGTTTCTCTAAATGATTCCAAGCACTGAGTTCAGTTTAAGAAATTCTTTATATTCTAGACCCTTTTTTAAAAAGTTGCTTATACAGACAGATCTGTTACCAACCTTGATAGAGGTAGCAGAGGTAGGTGAAGCAATGTGCATTCATGTTTGATGTTTACAAAGGCACTGGAGGTGATGCTGCTGGCTTAGCAGCTCTGACCTGGTAGCAGCCGGGCAGGCGAAAAATTCCCTGCTCCCAGCATCTCCATGGCACCTCCCTCGGGTGTGCTATCCTGCCCTCCCTCAAGGCTGTGTGTGGGAGCTCGTGGAGAGCAGGGATTGTGTTTCTAGGCTCTGTGCTAATTCCTGAGGTCACAAGTGGTGAAACACTTTCCTTTTAGATAAATGTGTGTCAATATCTCCAACCCTCCGTTTCTTTTTCTGTAAGAGGAGGACAATAACCTTGGTTTCAGAGTTGTGATGATTAAATTAGCTATAAACCATGTAAAAAAAGCACATAGCCTAGTGTTATGAAAACATAGTACCTAGCACGTAACACTCAGTGAATTTTAACATTTTAGAGCCATACAGAAGCATATTGCCTTCAAAATAAGAGGAAGTATGGTCTGTTAGATGCCAGCAGAGCCAGTAATTAAGTGCTTATCATGAATGAAGCTGAGATTTAGCTCCTTTATTTAGCAAAGCAACTAATTAAACTTTTAGCTACTTATAATTAACTACTCAGAGCTAATCTTTTAAACTACATTCTGAATTTAGGTATAAATTATTCTGGTCCCTGTGGTCCCCTAATTTCAAGAATCAGGAGTTTACCCTTTGGTAGTTCTTACTTAGTAGAAACTTGGTGTTTTTTCATCCTGAAAATCCCTCATACGCACTACCAAAGGTTAGGCCTTCCAGTGCTCTGGGCATGACCCACTTCCTCTTACACTTTGCCTACTGGTCCAGTGCCACAGCACTGTTTATCTCCTTAAGTCCTGCAGCACTGAAGTTTTTAATCACTCATTTGGCATTTATATTTTATCTGGAGTTGTTACTGATATTATATTCTGTGTTTACTGCCTGAATAGCTAGGACTATACTACTTTATAGACACTGCACATCTTAGTGGAAAAAACATGGACTCAAGAGTCAGGAAGAGCTGCGTATGATTTCCAGTGTGTCCAAGTACTACTTTTGTGGCCTCAGGCAAATTAAGCCCCTTCCTTGTTTGAGAAAGGGAAATAAGAACTTCCTTCCAAGGTTAATACGTGGATCATTTAACCCAACAAACATTTAGAGTATATCCAGTTCTAGATGTTATGTGCCTATATACTCGAGTGGCGCCTCCTTTGAAAGCAGCATGTTTCCTGTTGATCCTTTAATCCCGTGTCTGTCTAGCACAGTTAGTACCTGGAATACGCTGGCGTCTCAGTAAGTGGTGCATGAATGATGAAAGAGTGAGACTCCAGGGCTGAAATGTGCCATTCTTAGAATAAGTCTGAGGGAAGATTAAAAATGGATAACAAATAAAATTTTTCCTATAGTAGTTGGCGTGTAGTAATAGTTTAATATCTTTTCTCAATGATCACGACAATGCTTTGGATGGAAACGCAGATTGTCAGTATATGCTTGATGTTGGTGGTGGTCTCCTGCCAAATATTTTAATTGGCATTAGAGAGTGACCCAATGAGTTACTATTTATTTGTATGTTTTGGATGCAAATGGCATTCTTTAAACATACCGACTTCTGTCTAGGCCTTTTTTTTTTTTTCAAACCCAACCCAAACTCATTGGAAATCCTATGATAGTTGCCAGACGGGCAGGGAACGTTTGAGAAAAAAACATTGTTGGGCTAATGTCTTACTTGGAAAAGAGCGTGATTCCTGTCCACAGACAGTTATGCAAACCCAGATGGGGTATCGGTGGTATGCTGTTCCTGGAAGCAACGCCAAAGTCTGAAGCCTAATAGAATAGTTGATTCACAAAAACTCATATGTTGCCTTCTTTTCCCCAGACTATAGAATCTAACTGGCGGTGTGGACGACACAACTTGCAGAGGATTCAGTGCCGCTCTGAAAATAGTAAAGGTGTCTACTGTTTACAGTATGATGATGAAAAAATTATCAGTGGCCTACGAGATAATTCTATTAAGGTGAATGACTATTTTGCATGTATTATTTTTAAAATTGTGGTTACATGTTAGACACGAGACATGACAACTTCGTCATTTATTTCAGATTGGTTTATCTGTTCCACTCAGTCTTGGCAGGTCTCAGTGGCTCTGAAGAACTAGCGGCAGAGTATTTTCCTGTACGAAGGCTAGATTCCTGGGCGTCTCCTGATTCCCACCCTTCTCTAAGCACACTTACTTTCTGTATTCTGTATTTAGCTGTGCATAGAAATTATCTCAGAGCAATTTGGGTTATGCTATCATTCACTTTTCAGTAGTAGATAACCGGGATTATTTCTCTGTGTTTATTGTTTGGCGACTGATCTGATAGATAATATTGTTTTGCATTGTTTGTAGCTTATTTTCTCTTATCTAAGAAACCATTGGGTTTTTTAACCATTTTTAAAAATTATAATTTACTTATAGGAAAATTCGCTTGTTTTGGTGTAAAGCCCTATGAGTTTTGACAAGCACAAAAATTGTATAACCGTAACAGTAATGAAGATGCAGAACAGTTGGATTGCGAAAAGTTCCCTCATCCTGCCCCTTAGGCACTGGCCACTGCTGATCGTTTTTCCTGTCCCTATAATTTTGCCTTTTCAAGAATGTCCTATAAATGGACTCACACAGCATGGAGCCTTTTGAGTCTGGCTGCTTATACTTAGTATAGTGCATTTGCGATTCATCTGTCATTGCATTTAGCAACAGCTGATTACTTTTTACTGCTGAGTAGTAGTCCACTTAATCGGTATGCCACAGTGTGCTTATCTGTTTACCTGCTGAAGGACATTTGTGCTTCCAGTCTTTCTCAATTATGAATAAAGACACTATAAACATATGCACACAAGTTTTTGTGAGATCATAAATTTCAGTTCACTTGAGCAAAAAACCCAGGAGTGGGATTGCTGACTCATGTGGTAAGTGTATGTATGTTTTGCTTGCTAAGGAACTGCCAAGCGGTTTTCCAGAGTGGCTGTATATCCCATTTTCCATTCTCATCAGCAGTGTATGAGAGTTCCTTGTGTTCTGCTTGCTTGTCAGTCCTTGGTATTCTCAGTTTTTTTATATTAGCCATCTTAATAGGTATGTAGACATGTCTCATTTTATTTCCCCAATTACTGATGATAATGAGCATCTTCTCACTTACCTGTGTTTATTTGCCATCTGTATATGCGTTGGTAAAGTGTCTGTTCAGATCTTTTGTCTGTTTTTTAACTGGGTTGTTTGTTTTTATATTATCAAGTTTTGAGAGTTCTTTGTATATTCTGCATGCAAGTCCTTTGTTAGATATATTTTGCAAATATTTTCTTCCACTCTGAGACTTCTTTTCATTTTCTTAATGTTATCTTTTATAAAGCAGAAGATTTTCATTTTGATGAAATCCAGTTTACCAGTTTTTCCTTTATGAATCATGCTTTTGATGTCATAACAAAGAAGTCTTTCACTGAGCTTTTTGAATCTGTAAATTTATGTCTTTCATTCACCCAATTTCAGAAGTTGTGGCCATCACTTTTTCAAGTATTTTTTTCTGCACCAATTTCTCCTTTCCTCTGAGACTCTTAACTACATAAATATTTGATACTGTCACTCATTTTTTTTCAGTCTTTTTTCCCCCTCTTCTTTACTGGATAATTTCTATTAGTCTATCTTCAAGTTGACCAAAGTTTTCATCTTTCATTTCTAAATGTTTTGGCGTTACTCTAGTAAGTTGAACATAGATTTACCATGTGACCATACATATATATACCCAAAGAACCTAAAACAAGTGGTCAGAAACTTGTACGCAAAGTCCACAGCAGTACTGTGCACAATAGTCAAAATGGAAAAGCCCAAATTACCATTAACTGATTAATGAATAAGTAAATGTCGTATAGCCATAAAATTAAATATTATTCAGTCATAAAAATGAATGATGTACTCATACTGGCTACCACATGCATGAGTCCTGTAAACATGGTGACTGAAAGAATCTAGCCACAAATGGCCATATATGCAGTGACTCAATTCCATGACACATCCAATATAGGAAAATCCATATAGACAGAAAGGAGGTTAGTGTTAGCCGTGGCCCAGTCTAAATTCGAGAATAGGGAGTGATTGCCTGATGGTATGGGGTTTCCTTTTGATGGTTTGCAATTAGTGCATATTCCATAGATGTGGCTTCTATTATGCTATTGCCCCTTATTGAGTAAAGTTTTTTTTTTAAAGATTTTTTTTTATTTTATTTTTTATTGGTGAATTGGGGGGATGGGAACAGTGCTGGGGAATTGGGGAAAGGGGAACAGACAAGTTGCTGTCGTTTTGTTCTTCAATCTAGTTGTGGAGGATGTTGCTTCACTGGCCCAAGTTGGCACCATCATTGCGCTCTTCTCTGGCGAGGCCGATCAGTCGCCGGCTTCTGGACTGCCGTTCACTGCGGCTGCTGGCCGCTCACGCTGGCTGCTGGCCACACACGGTAGCCCATGGCAACCCACTGCCACAGGGACTGCAGCCCACGCCGTCGCCGGCGACTCATGGCAGCCCAGCTCCAGGTTGAGCTGTTGTTCAGCATCTTAGCTGTGGAGGGCAGTGTCACTGGCCCTCATATGTGGGATCCGAACCGGGGCCCTCTGGCATCCCAAGCGAGTTCTTAACCATCGCGCCACTCGGCCGGCCCTAAAGTTTTTATTTCAGATAGTGTAGTTCGTATTTTTTATTTCTCTGCTGAGAACGTCTCTCTTTTCATTTGCATCAAGTGTATTTATCTTTACCATGGAGTGTAGTTACAATACCTGCTTTGAAGCCTTGACCATGACAACATCTGGGTATTCTCCAGCTTGTCATGGTTGATTGTCTGTTCCCTTGAGAATCGATCACTTTTCTTGGTTTTTGTATGTTAAGTAATTTTGGATTGTATCTTGGACATGTTGTGTATTATATTGTGAAGACTATGGTTCTGCTAAAGCTCTCAGGAGAATTGGTGTATGTTTTGAAGCAGGTGGTTAACCTAGCTAGTTAGGGTCCTTGACCTCAGCAGAGGGAGTTGGGGAGGCAATGTGGGGATGACAAGGCTGGGGGTTAGTTCTAATGTCTTTTCTGCTTTTCAAAGCCTTTGTCATGCTCCTTTGGGTCTGTCTTGGGCTTGCACTGCCCAGGAGTTGGTCTGAGACTTCAGCAGTGTTTTAAATACCAGCTCACTTTTTACAGCCTTTGTCATTTGGGAGCAGTCTATCTAGTCATGTGTTGTGTGGGTTTTCATAGAGAATCGGGGGATCCTTTTTTGCAGATATTTCCTCTCAGATTTCCCTGAGTCTCTCCTGCCCTCGGGGTTCCTTTTTACCTTTTCCTCAGGGCAGAAAATGGGGTTTCTCTTGGAATTTCAGTTATCTGTCCACTGCTTATGCAGTGCATCTGCGTGACTGGTGCCTGTCCTTGGATCAAAGCCATGTGAGAAGCAGGGGGGGAGGGTCCTCCATGTATTCTTTGGCCCCCTAGGATCCCTTTTTCTTGTCTTTCTGTCCGGAAAGAGTGGTTTCTCTCAGAATTTTGACTGCCAGTGTCACTAGTTCACTGTGCAGCTCTCTAATCTGGACCCGCCTTTGGGCCAAAGTCACAGTGGGAAGAAATGAGGAAACTAGCAAAAAGAATAATAAACACCCCCATGTGGATAGCATCTTCATCTTTTACTTCTTTCCATGATCCACTTGCTTTTTTCTCCCTCCTCCCCTCATACTTTTCAAGTCCTCAGCTCATTGCTTTTGTGTTTTGTTTGAGTTTTTAGTGATAGTCAACTGAAGAGATAGTTTGTAGTGAGCACTCTGCATCTTGGCCCCTTTTCTATATTGTTTTACTTGGGGTGAGTTAAAGATGTTTTGGGGTTGTTGGGGTTTTTTTTCCACTTGTTCGTTTTTCATTTAAAAAAAATACAAAGTAGTGGAATGTCAATAATTCAGATAACTTAGGGCAAACAGCACTCTGAATTATAGCATGTAAACACACCGTTTCACTGGTTTCCTATATGTTTGGCAAGTTTCCCAAAAGGTATTCTGTGGATATAAATCTAAAGGGTGTTATTTTGAAGAGTAATGTCCTTCAAACAAATTTAGAAAACACTGCATGCTGTGTATCTCCTTAGAAAGTCACAGGATACAGTAGCACATAAAGGCTCTGAGAAGGCCTGCAGTAGAGACACCTGGTATTTCCCAACTTCCAAAACAGAACTCTATTTTTATGTAACTTATTGATTGCCCTAACCTGTAGCTATAAATATACTCTAACAAGAGTGACATATGTTGCTGTTTAGTTTTGGCAGTTCTTTAAGGAATAGATAAGGATGGTCTATAAGGACCTTATCAAAGCATGGCCATGGGCTTGCATTTCATTTACACTGGATGTGTTTCTAAAGAGTTCTCTTAACGGAGGCACACCCAGGTTTAAGTTAAGTTACATTTGATTTATAAGACAGAACAGTAGAACGGAAATGCACTGCAGAGGGTGCATCTCAATTTCTAGATCTAGCCATCATTCCAGTGGTTGAAAACATTTTGTGCTTCGTTCTGCTTTGGTCCTTCATCACTAATCAGTCTTTCAAAATCACTGTGGTTCTATTAGGGCAGAAATTAAAAGCAAGCCTTGCTATTTTATAGAAAGTCGCTTAACTGCTTATAGCACTGCAGTATCTTGGCCATTTGTAATGAACTTGAGGGACACTGCAAGCTATAATACTCTTTTACAAGGTCAGAGACCAGGTCCACAGAATATATTTTTAACCATCCAAAAGAAGGGAGAAAAAGAGCACTGAGAGTACAAAACTAACTATTACATTTTACTTCATTTTAATATGTTTTTCTTTTTGAAAATGTACAGCCATTATGTCAGTATATAGACAACTTTTATTATAATATTTTTTAAAACACCACTCTGTAATAAAGCATTATATTTTCTCATTACAAACTTCATAGTATACATTGAAATTTTTCAGAAATGTTGAACATTTTTCAATTAAAATCTTTTGTAAACAAACAGAATGGATTAAGGGGTGTGCATTTTTAAAGGCATTGTTTTCCAGCGGGCAAGCCAACTCTTTGGGTAGAGTTTATTTTAAAATTCCCCTTATAAGGCTGTTAAGTATAGTGAGTACAGGGGCAGAGTAAACAAAATAGTACATCTATTCTGGAAGTTATTCAATATTGGTTCTTGTCATTTCCCACCCGTTTGATGTTTAACTCTTATTTACTGTAAGCAGTTTGTGTTATTTTACGACTCAGAAAATAAGGTGAGACAAACATGTATCAGAACGTGAAACACTAAATCCCTGTGGTTGGTCTTGTCTCAATAGATCTGGGATAAAACCAGCTTGGAATGTTTGAAAGTGCTGACGGGGCACACTGGCTCTGTGCTGTGTCTCCAGTATGATGAACGCGTCATTGTGACTGGCTCTTCAGACTCTACAGTGAGGTGAGTGACTGGGTTTCACTGGTCTGAACACGTGTGCCTTCCACGAGCAGATGGGAGAGTCTCACCATCTTCTGTGATGCGCGCACACACACGCTGTATGTGCTTTTGTGTGCTGTCTTTCAAAACCACTGTTGGTGGAGGTGCATTTGAGCTAAGTTGGGAAAGCTCACTTTTGTTTAGGTCCTGTTTGCATCGCCCCACAATACAGAGTTGAATGGCAACGTGCTTTCCTATCAAAGCACATTGTCTGGAATTTGGCTAGCTTTCTCCCAGAGACCATGCTCCAGGGCAGAGAAAAAGAAGGCAGGTGTTGAAGGAAGGTGGTGGGCAGTAACCTACAAGTACTGGACGAGTCAGGAGCAGCTGTTGGCAGAACCTTGTGAGGGACACAGAACGTGTGCCAGATGTTTTATAGACTTATCCTATTCTCACATCAACCTTTCTAATTAGGTAGGTATTATCTTCTTTTTCTATAGATGTATTAGGAAACCAGGATCAGAGAGGTTAAGTTATTTGCTCAGAGTCACATAGTTAATTTTGAACCTTGAATTTATATCTTTCAAGTCTGCCTTCATATTATGTCACCTTTCTAGTAATGGAGACCTTGTTTTCAGACGCCAGCCCTTGGGCAGAGTGATGAAACTGGGAATAGCAGTGTCCCCAGTAGATGGGAAGCAGTGACGCTGCTTGGAAGTTGAGAGTAGAGAGGAAGCACTGTTGGAATCCACTTCTAAACCGCTGGCACACACAATCCCGATGGCTTTGGACTTCATCAGAGCCTGGGGATGATACAGTGAAGCCTCGGCTGGACTGCTGGTGCCTAGGGGAGGACATGTCATGTGGAGCGGAGGGAAATGGCTCTTCTAGGCCGACTCAGAGACTTGAAGAGGGTTGTTTTACAGGCACAGCTGAGGGATTGCAATAGTCACCCGCATGCCCAGTGTGCTTTCCCTGACTCGGTGCTTCCCGGCCGCTACCTCTCAGCCTTAGAGGCCTGAGTCTTTCCTCTGCTCTGCGTGAACTTGTCCTCCGAATAGGAGATTGGGGTGACAGAAAGCTATGACATGAAAGGGCTGCCCCTAAGAACCCCATATCTCCAGGTGAACCAATTGGGAGACACTGGCTTTGTCCATAAGGCAGTTGGGTAAGTAGATGGGTGTGGGGATTGATGAGACATGGCGCACAGTCCGTGGATTCAGAGGCCTGTCAAAGGTCAAAAAAGAACCTCAAGCTTGGAACTGTCCTCAGTTCCCCAGCCACCAAGTCCCCTTCCCCCATCATCTCAAACTCCTTGCAAAGCCCACTTACTCGAAGAACCTTTTTTTTTTTTTTTTTGTCTGCCATCAACCACAAGCCTTCAAACATAATCCCTGAAAAACTATTAAATAAACCTAAACCTGGGCAGAGCCAGAGTTGGCCCTCTTTTCTGAAACCTTCCCAACATTCGGCAAATAGAGAGATTGCTTTGGCGGCTCCTTTTAAGCATGTACTTAGGTGTCAGGTCCTTGTCTCCCAATACAGGTAAAATCCACACCTCCGGGCCTGTTGCTAAGAATGGGCCCAGAGCACAGATGCCAGAATCTTTTCCCGGCTGTCTCCGTAATCAGTGCTGTGCTTTTCTCCTCTAGAGTCTGGGATGTGAACACAGGCGAGGTTCTGAACACGCTGATCCACCACAACGAGGCTGTGCTGCACCTGCGCTTCAGCAACGGCCTGATGGTTACCTGTTCCAAGGACCGCTCGATCGCTGTGTGGGACATGGCCTCTGCCACCGATATCACGCTGCGCCGTGTCCTGGTCGGCCACCGCGCCGCTGTCAACGTCGTGGACTTTGATGATAAGTACATCGTGTCCGCCTCTGGTGACAGGACCATCAAAGTAAGTCTGCAGTTACAACCCTTCTTGCTGCCGTCTCTTGTAGAGTGGAAAGAAAGCAGAGGTGGCTTATGTCGAAGCTGGTGCCGGGCAAGGTCTTTCTCCTCCTCTGTTTGTGCTTAGGAACCCTTGAGGCCACCCCATTCTGCATGCTTCTAGAGTTATAGGCAGTGAGGAGAAAGGGGTCATGGGACCAGGATAGAGAACAGTCCTGCTTCATGAAATGGCATTGCTGATCACCTTTTTAAGGAGGAGAGAACTAACCTATTGAACATACACCGTGTACCAGGAGCTTTCGCAGCACCACCTCACTCATCCCGCTCTCCGGTAGGGTAGGTGTTGCCTCCGTTTTACAGATGGGGCTCAGAGTGAAGAACTGTGCCAGGGACCACACGGCCAGCGAGCGGCAGAGCTGAAATTTGATTTAGTCCCCTGATTTTGAGAGCCTGCCATGCCCTAGTCCCGGGGCTGGGTGCTGGAGATGTGATGAATAGCACGTGTCCCTACCTTCAAGAAGTTCAAATGTGGTGGCAGACAGACATGTGACAATCACTTGGGGTATCCATAGGACGTGGTAAATGCAGTTTTGATTCCAGTATTCATGTTAATTTTTAAAATTTTAGCTTTCTTAAATTTTTATAACAGCTTTAATGAGATAATTCACGTATTATGAGTCACTATTTTAAAGCACACAGTCCAGTGGACTTCATATATTCACGTTGTATAGAACCATCACTAGGTCCAGAACATTATCATCACCCTCCAAAAGCCCTTATACCCATTGGTAGTCAACCCATATGTTCTCCCCAGGTCCCCCTGGCTATCACTAATCTACTTTCCGTCTGTGGATTTGCCTGTTCTAGACATTTCGTATAAATGGAATCATACAGTATGTGACCCTCTGTGTCTGGCTTCTTTCATGTAGTGTATTGTTTTCAAGGTTCATCCACGTACCTGGTAGCATATGTCAGTGCTTCGTTCATTCTAGTGACTGAATCAGATCCCACTGGGTGGATGGATGGACCACATTCTGTTTGTCTGCTCATCAGTTGATGAACATTCCAGTTGCTCGCACTTTTTATCTATTATGAATAACGCCTTCAACATTTTCAGTTCTCTTGGGATGGTAACTGTGTTTAACATTTTGAAGAAGTGCCAAACCGTTTTTTCAAAGTGGCTACAACAGTTTATAGCCTGACCAGCAATGTCTTAGTGTTTGGATTTGGCTGAAAAAACCTTTTTATGACCAGCACGAGGCAGCATTCTGGCATCTCACCCCACAGATCTAGGTAGCATCGAACTTCAGATTGGGTGGCCTGGAAGCTGAACAACTAGGCTTCGTGTGCGGTAATTCCCTCACCACTCAGTCATACCAGTTGGTACAAGACCAGTGCCTGGAAGTCCAGAAGGTTTGGGCCTTATTACAAAACAGCTGTCACGTAATAACAAGCGGGAGGATTTCTCCACATCCTCACCCACACTTGTTACTGTCTGTCTTTTTTATCACAGCCATCTTCGTGGGGGTGCAGTGATAGCTGTTAATTTCACTTTCCATTTCCCTAACGACTAATGATGTTGAGCATCTTTTCATGTGCTTATTGGCCATTTTTATGTCTTCTTTGGAGAAACATCTTTTTAAATCTTTTGCTCATTTAAAAAATCGGATTATGTGTCATTTTTTGTTTGGTTTTAGTTGCAGATGGTTTTTTATATGTTCTGGTAACAAGGTCCTTATCAGAAATGATTTGCAAATATTTTTTTCCATCTTGTGGGTTGTTGTTACTTTCTTGATGTTGTTCTTTGAAACACAAAACAATTTTAATTTTGATGAAGTCCAGTTTATCTTTTTTTTTTCTTTGGTTGCTTGTGCTTTTGTTGTCACATCTAAGAAACCATTGCCTCATCAAGGTCACAAAGATTTACTCCTAGGTTTTCTTCCAAGAGTTTTAAAGATTCAGATCCTACGTTAGATCTTTGAACTACTTTGAATTAAATTTTTATGTATAGTGTGAGGTAGGGGTTCAACTTCATCCTTTTGCATGTGGGATGTCCAGTTATCCCATTCCACTACTAGTGCAGCTGGTATTACTGGGCACTTTGGTTGCTTTGCGTCTCCTTTTTGGCTTATAATTTATTGTGTGTCTATGAACATCTAAGTCTTGCAGATAGTTTCACAAAAAAGGGATTATTTATTCCAGATTCATAATATTAGAAGTGATGTGTCAAAACAAAAGGAGCTGTTCAAGAAACTATGCTGAAAAGAGGAGGATGTGAAAGGTGAAGCTTTTTCACATCAGTTCCACTGCGTTTGACATGTCAGCTGGCATGAAACACAAACCTGGCCCAAACTCTTCCCTGTAGGCAGATGAATGTCTGAACCATCCCAGAGATAATCTCTTCGAGACGATCTCAAGGCTTGGAGACTTCACAACTTCCTTCTGTATTTCATTCCAGTTTTATCCCTCAGCAGGCAAGAAAATTTTATGCAGTCCAGCTTGGCCCCCTGCCTTCCAACCATGTTTCATAATCAAGTATTTTGATCATTCCTAGAAGCTCTGTTTTTTTTTTAATGGCATATCGTGAGGGGTCTTTTCTGCATTTGTTCTTAAAAAATATCGCTCATTTGTTACAGGTGTGGAGCACAAGTACCTGTGAATTTGTTCGTACTCTGAATGGGCACAAGCGAGGCATTGCCTGTCTCCAGTACAGGGACCGGCTGGTTGTGAGTGGATCATCAGATAACACCATCAGGTGGGTAGAAGTCAGTGTGCTGACAGAGCAGGCTGATGGATGTTTGCATAGTGCTGACTCATCTCCCAGTCCTAATGCTCAAAGACTCAGAGTCTCTGGGGATGCTTCAGATGAGAAAGCTTTAGGTAACGTGTATTAATCAGTGGCTCTGCATTCTAAAGGGGGTAAGCTGTGTATGCCCTGCGTGTTCTTCCAAGATTCCCCCTTGCACAAGGCTTTATAACCCAAGACCCCATAATACCAGAACACCTTAGGACAGAGGATGCTCCCGCCTGACTGGTTTCTCACCTGCGTGCCGGCCTCCTCCCGCACAGATGGGCGGGCACTTCATCTGTCTCTCCCAAGGCTCCTGTTGGTCATTCATTTTATTTCCCTTGTTTTTTCCCAACACTCAGTGTCCTTGCTTTCTAGTAAATATGACTATCCTTAAACATTTTATATCTTATTAAGAACTTGCCTTAAATATCTATTTAATTATCCCAAGTCATTGTCCCACTGTCCCAATATATGCTAGTAGCTTTTTTATAACCAAATTGCCTAATGTTTGGGCAAAATGAAGATTGGGCTCAAGATTATTTCAGAGAGAGAGGGAGGGAGGGAGGGATAGAAGGATGAAAGTCGGGGGAGAGGGAGGGAGCTATAAAACTGCTATAAGTTTTCTTTATCATTTTAAGTTTTAAGATATTATAAAAGTCAGTTTTGTACTTGAATCTTGGCTCTGTTGTATTACTTAGTATTTCAGCAATAAATAATCCTTAACTCCTTCATTGCAATTGCTGAGGTTTTACAAAATAATCATGTGTATTGCTCTACAGTTTATAGAAGGGAAGCACTTTGGAGTCATAGTGGCGGTGCCGAAGGAGCGTTCACAGTAGCTAAGATAAGCCGTCATCACTGGCATTGAGGAGATTTGCTGAGGGTGGCTGTGGTAGAATACTCATCAGCTGTGTGATAGGAGCTACTGGTGGAGAGGATAAGAAACCGTCCTTGTAGAGTTAGTGTGCTAACTTTGTTTTATGCATATTTGCTGTGACTTGTTTTTGCAAGTCATGTAGAAAAATCAATAATAGGAAAAAGTTTTTATTTCCAGAATTGTTATTTAAATCATAGACAGAGAAAAGGCTGGATATAGTCAATGGGCTTGTATTTCCAAGACACTGCACATACCTAACGAGCCTCCCACTCTGACATTGCAAACTGGACAGCCCAGTGTGCCGTGTGGATCTAGGAAGTGGTGTCCTGAAGCCTCGTAGGAGAGGGACCCCCCCGTGCTGGTGCTAACCTCAGCGGGCCGCGTGGCCTGGCCTAGGAGCTGGGGTGGAAACCGAACCTCTGGCTGGATGTGTTCCCCGGCGGCCACAACACACACACTTTTTCTCCTTTCCTGCCTGCCATCCCTAGCTCCACCGGAAACGTCCTTTTTAGACCATTGGCTACGCAGCTTCATCAACTCAGACATCAAGAGAATGTCTAGGAACTAAATATAATTGAAGTTTCCTGTTGGTTGACCTTATTTAAATAAGTAGCACACGTGATTTTTAGAAGTTTCAAACTGTGTGAAAGGAAATACAATGAAAAGTGAGGTTTCCTCCCAAGTTAGTGTTTAAAAACACACAAATGGCCTAAATGTTCATATGTATCTTTGTATGTGCTTAGTGTGGACTTGGGAGTGAGATATTTAGAAATAAGAATTCCAGAATAGTGAAAAGCACGCATGGGACAGATGTAAAGAACTTGAGGGTCATGTGATGGTATGTCGAGTTGTTTTACAGAGATCTGTTTCTCATTCAAGGCTCTGGGATATCGAATGTGGTGCCTGCCTGAGAGTTCTAGAAGGACACGAAGAGTTGGTCCGATGCATCCGCTTTGACAACAAGAGAATTGTCAGCGGGGCCTATGACGGGTACGCACCTCACGTTTTCAAATGCACTGCTGTAACCACGCCAGGAGAGGGGAGCGTGCTGGGTATTAGGCCGCTCTGTGTGCCAGGTCCTGTGCTGTGCGATGGCGGATGGCAGGTGTCATCACACCACTTGATAACGTGAGGCCGCTCAGGCCCGGAAAGATGAACTGCCATGCCCCAAACTGCACAGTAGCAGAGCCTCTGGGCTTCTATAGTTATACTTTTAACCGTTGTTATAAACTCAGGTAAGAACTCCGCTTGTGGGGGTATTCAGGTCTTTGCCCGAGCCCTTAAACCAGGCTTTTTTTGTTGTTGTTGTTGTCGAGTTCAATGATAAATTTCTTTTCCCCTTTTGGTGAATTGATCAAGTCCTCTTTTAAAAGCCTCACAACTTTTAAATGAGCAAATGGCAACTGTAAACCTTTCAAGATGACCTTATTATATACCTCACAAATGGGTTTGTTGGTCTGTTTACACTCCTATTAGTAACTTACAGCATTTGCTGAGTTTGGAGGAATGTATCCTTGGAATGTCATGGAGAGCCCTAGCTTCTATCAGCAGCACCTAGTCAGCCCTCGAGAGCCCCCTGATGAATGGATTCGGAGACATGATTATCAAGTCAGGAATTGAGTTAAGATAATCTGAAGTTGTTTTCTTGTCTCTCTTCAAATAATATTTCTTCACGGTTTCAGCCGTTCTGAGAATGTTCAGGTCCTTATTTTTTCCCAAATCAAGTGTAATTGGTTTAAATGACTTGTAAAAACATAAGCATGTTCCCATTAACTTTTATGATAGGCAGTTCAAATGCTTTTCTGTCAAGGAAATGCTTGACAGCATTTAAAATGTTAACTTTTCTACTAATTGCAATCTCATTTCTCTTTCCAGGAAAATTAAAGTTTGGGATTTGCAAGCTGCTCTTGACCCTCGAGCCCCAGCAAGCACCCTGTGTTTGCGTACCTTGGTGGTATGTGAGCTGTGGAGACGGGAAGTGGCTCCCTGTGCAGGAGGATGGCCGCCCACAGATAGACCTGCCTGGGTGTATCGCTAGAAACCTTGTGTCTTCACAGAAATGCCCTGTTCTGTTAATTTTGTTTAGTCAAACTCAGAGCGTTTTGGCATGTGCATAACAGCAAGGTCTTTTCTAAGGAGCATTAATATAGCTTAGTGTATGGGAGCAGCCTTCCTCGTTTATAGGTAGACTGGTTTTCTCATAGAGCACAAAGAATTTCCTTCCTCCCTCCTTGAGAGATTGCTTAATATGGGTATCTGGTTATGTTATACTTTTATAACACAGCATACTTTTGTACTATTATGATGGAATTCCCCCTCAGTCTATAGTCCCTGGATTATTGCTTGACATACAGGAATACTTTATTTTATATGGTAATCTTGTTTTTGCAGTTTTACCAAGCTCATTATTTCTAATAGTTTGCTTGCTTTTGTTGTATTTTTGAAGAGACCGTTATTTGAAAATATTGATGGATTTTCCTCGTTTTCAGTAGTTTTACCTTTTGTTTCTGTATCTGCTTCTTGCATTGACTAGACCATGCAGAGCTATAGTTAGGGTCATTCTTGTTTTCGATTTGATTTTAATGGGAATGCTTCTAATATTTCACCATTAATTTTGATGTTGGCTGTGTTTTGCGATAGATAGTCTTGGTCATGGTGAAAACACTATTTTTCTGGTTCTAATTTTTACAGTGTATCAAGAATGGGTATTCAATATTGTTGCTTACATTTCTGTGATTTGGTCACATAGTTTTTCTTCTTTGACATATTAATGGGCCAGGATCTAGGGTATAACGTTTAATTAAAGAAAAGGCCTAGAAGGAAAAGCAGAGTATTTGTTCCCAGGGTGAAGGGCAAAGCTCAGTTAGCTTTGCCGGAAGCCCGGATAAGGAGCTGCCTTTTCAGCCTGTGCCAAACCCTGGGTAGTGAGATAGGAGGGATTGTAAAGGTCTCATTTTATTCATCAAGCTGTTCTACTTCACAGGAACATTCTGGACGTGTGTTTCGGCTACAGTTTGATGAATTTCAAATCATCAGCAGCTCTCATGATGACACTATTTTGATTTGGGATTTCTTGAATGTGCCTCCCAGCGCCCAGAACGAGACCCGCTCGCCCTCCAGAACATACACTTACATATCCAGATAACAGTCTGCACTTGACCCGCTTCAGGTGAGCATGTCCCTGCCTTCTCATTTGCTGGTTGGGTTCACTTAACCTTTGGGACATTTCGTGATTCGAGTTCCTTTCCTAGTGGTGGGAACCAAGATGGCTAGTCTTCGTTAGGCGTCTCAGCTTCACAGCGTTCTAGGATAAGGCGAGATCTTTACGATCTCTTCAAAATGAGACCTAAATCTCAATCCTGTGTATTGTGTGTTTTGTATTGGCAGACAACTTGCTCCTGTTTTTAAAAACTATTTTCCTAAATGGTTTCCCTGTCATACCAATAGAACACCAGTAAAAACCCTCCGATTCTGTTTTGGGGTACAAAACTCTCCTTTTTCTCTTTCCTGTCTTTCAGTTCTATCTTTCATTAAAAAGAAAAAAATAACCATCAACCAAACATTCAAAATGATCTTCTCCCCCCAGCACAATTCACCCACCACTACCATTCCTTAGAAGAGGACTCAGAAAAGGATGTTTGTTGCGAGAGCTCCTGTAACCCATTCCTCATCCGTTAGACACAGCAGGTGCTCAGGAAGCAAAATCCTTTGCTATGGCTGCAGGAAGACTTAGAGCCATTATAAGCACCTGTGGTGGCTGTGTTTTGGTAACTGAGGGTGTCCAGCCTTGAGGATGAGAAGCCTTACTTGGCTGCATCCTGGGAACCGATGGCCCTGCTCATTTGGAGCAGGGTTCCCAACTTGGGGAATTTTGCAAGGGAGCCAGCGGATTCTGGGCACGTTAAACTTTGTAGATTGAATTAACTATTTTTGTACCTATTTGTGCTACTATGTATATATGTATGTAAAGACTGTGGTTAATAACATTCATTTTTATTTAAAAGCATTCCTTAATGCTTAGTGGCTTTTCATCGTTATACACTTTCCTGTTCATTGAATATTAAAAATGTAAGGGAAGTCAGTGTGCAGAATTGGGAAACTTTTTGATGAAAAGATGGGAAACCATGACCTGATTTTTTTCCCTCCCACCACAGCAAGTTAAGAATAATTTTTATACTTTTACATACTTGAAAAAATTAAAAGAAGAATAATATTTCATGACACATGAAAATTATATGAAATTCAAATTCCAGTGCCCATAAATAAAGTTTTATTGGAACATAGCCTTGCTCATTTTTATGTGTTGCCTATGTTCATGCTTCAGGGGCAGAATTGAATAGTTGTGACAGAGACCATATTGCCTGCGACATCTAAAATGTTTACTCGCTGGCCCTTTTAAGAAAAAATGTGCCGACCTCTGGTCTTGCCCCTGTTCCGTGTGTCGGTGGTAAGACAAGGGTCTGCATCAGGACTGGCAGAGGCTTTTTCTTCATGCCAACTCTGTCTTATCAGTAGTGACTGGCTGGAGCGCTGCCTTGGGAAGGATTCTGGGATCCCAGGGGGACCCAAAAGGACTCAAGGACCGTGATGAGGTGGCTGTGTCTCCCTGGGTGTAGGAGGCGGGCCGTAGTCGTTCCCCGTGAGCCACCTCTGTAGGTGCTGCACTCTCTGGTCTCAGGTGTGTTCATGCTGCCTCGTAAGATGGTAACCGGGTCCCTTGTGCTTTCTCACCAGAGAGCGTCTTCATAATGCAATTGAAAAATCCATAAGGCAGAATTTTTATGTTTATTGAACAGAGTCTTACAATAGATGTTACAGGCAATTACAGAGGACGAAGTCAGGGGTCTCTTGAATGATTGCTCCTCCCCGTCTCAACCTTCTTTCCCAAAAAGCCTAAGGAAAATACAGGGAAGGAGGAATGGGCCCAAATGAAAACTGATTTCCCTCGTGGTCTTTCTTCTCCTTTTTCAGCCAACCCTCCACCCTGCTACCCCCTAGGGTCATCTTGGCCCTGCCTCTGCCACCCTCTGCTTCCTGGACTTCCTATTGTCTTCAGGGTCCAGGTTGAACTGCTTAGACTAGCCGACAGGCGTTTCGGCATCTGGCTGTTACCTCTGTCCTCCCTACACCAGTCTTCCTCCCCGTGTCCCATTGTTCCCTCCCCCAAACCCAGTGCTCCAGCCAGACTGAACTCTGTTTAACTTCTCTAATCACACTTGAGCAGTGCAGCCCTCCACCACCTCCCTCTCACTGCTTCTGTTATTATAGCTTTGTAGACACTTCCACCCCACTCCCACCCCTTCGCTCGCTTCCTCTGACTTAATTTATTGTTTGGTGTTGCAATGGTGTGCCTGCCTGTCTCCCTCACAAGGCTGTGGAGCTCCTTTATTGTGTCCAGTGGAGCGCCTAGTGTATTCTAAGCGCTCGTTGATGTTTGTTGAGCAAGTGACACCCAGGGCCAGCATTACGTATTTGTGCTCTTTTTTTCAAGGCCACACAAGAATTTGCCCGTAAATAAACGTGTGTGAGACTACAGTGTAGTCATGCAGGCACCTTCCGCAAACATAAAGATAGTAACTCAGTCAACATTTAGTATATGCTGTGTAAACTGGCGTAGTCAGCTCCTGTGTCTATTCCCTAAATAGGCAGGCACCTCAGTGCACACACCTCCCTCCGCCCTGCCCCTGCACCTTCGCTCTGCCTCTGGTGGTGTTTTTTAATGAGTTTTATTGAGGTATGATCTGTGTAAAAATAGGTCATACCCATTTAAAGTGTACCGTTTGATGAGTTTTTACAAATGTATACACCCCTGTTACTACCTCCACAATCCAGATAACATTTCTAGCACCCCAGAAAGTTCCCTCGTGTCACCTTTGGAATTGAGCTGGAATGCACAGGCTCAGGGGAGTAGGTATCACAGGACAACCTACGTGTACCTCTGTTGTGTCTTGGACAGGTGTCTAAAGAGGCACATGATAAAATTCAAGACATCCAGAGTATGTTTATCCCCCCTCTGGCATATTTAGTAGATGAATTGTAGGAATATTCACCAATTGGCAACTTTTGTATATTTCTTAAAAGTGCCTGAAACAAGATTTCTTGGTCAGGGGATGAAATCATGAGCACCACGCCGCTTCTCTCACTGGCTGTGGTGGGAAGGAAGCTGTGTTACCTCTTCGAGGGCCTCCTCCCCACCCATTGTAGGGAACCTAAGAGCAGCTGCCTTGTTATGATCCACAATTATAAATCAATGGAAAAATCTTATCTGCTTTTTAAGCAGCACAAGCAATGAAACCTCAAATGTGTTTGTCTCTTCAAAGTGAATTACTTTTGACAACCTTGGCAGTCAACTTTATAGATTTTATTGCTCTTTTCCAAATTCTTTTCATTTATTATAACAGGGAAAAAAATTATTACCATGTGATACTGTAAGATTTATGCATAATAAGAAACACTACCCTAATGATGATTTAACCTTGCAGTAAAATATTCACCCTGAAAATATTAGGAAGAGTATGTCTGTGTCAGGAAACTTAGCAATAGATTTATTTGCTGAGTCATTTTTTTAAATTACTAACTCCTAAGAGCTATATATACAGTAGTTCTCATTATCCTTATATAATAAAAGGCGATATAAGATCATTATTAGGAAATTTGGAAAAAAAACTAGATAAGCCAAAAGAAGAAAGTAAACTCCAAGTCATGGTTCACCATCGCTAACTCTTTTGTATATACCCTTTCAGGCCTTTAAAACTATGTTTGATAACGCACATGTTTTAAAATGCTTTTTCTCTTCACTGTGAAATTGTTCCATGTTAATAATGTCAGTTTTGCCACAATTGTCACTCTTAATGGCAAAATAATATTTGGTTGTTTGGATATGTCCTGTTAGATATTTATGTTTTCGCCCCAGCTTTTAGCTATTCTAAAACATATTATGGATCATTTTTTTTAGCTTAATCTTTGCCCAACCCCTTATTACCTCTGGATAGAAATGTAGAAATAACCTAGAGTGTCTGGGTTAAAAGGTGTGACGTTCATAGACTTGGGATCATCACGTTATGGTGCTTCAGGAAGAGCTAACTCAGCTTGCGTTCCCACCAGCAGCTTTTGACAGGGTGCTTCCATTTTATAAATAAGTCAGGCATTCCTAAATATCCTTCATGGGAAAACAGTGGCGCATGGAATTGAATCTTTCTTGAATTCATTGAGAAAGCTGATTTGGATTCTTGATCCTTATGAAAATTGACTACTTTTTAGGAAAGTTGCCTTTGAAAAGGCATACCAACTTAAAAAAAAAAAAACCCTCTCTACCGTCCCCCTCCCAGTAGAATTTTAGATCTAAAGGTGACTCAGATCTTCTAGGCCAATGATTTAGTGCAGTGGTTGGAAAGGGTTGTGATGCTTTAGTTATTGTGAAATCATTTTAATGAAATTTGACTTTGCTTTGATAAAATTGAGAATAGAAAATGTCAGCCTGCATTGTACACAGTAATGATAAGTATTGTTTCATGAATGTCCTGCTTGGGGTGTATGGGCATGTGTGCATTATATTTAGATATAATGGATAAAGGTAGAGATTGTGATTGAAATGTGTACTTGACTCAGTCATGACCCAAAACATATGGACTATTCAGCAGCCTTTTTCTCAATACTGTGTTGTCCTGTTATTCATGATTTATTTCAAAAAGAAGTAATTTCCAATGGTTAACGTTCTATTTAGAACGGATACTTTATTTACTAGCTTTGCATATTTTTGTCTCACGACAATGAGTGCTCTCAGGAGGACACGAGAAAGGCCATTGTAGGCTCTGGGTGTCATAAAACATTCTGCTAAATGTAAAATCTGATATTAAGCTTATTTTATGTGCATAGTTTTAGCAGCAGCACTGAAAGATGGTGGATTATAGATAGTATCGGTTCAGGCATTGTTTTGAATCCCCTCTCACTTAATGACTAACGCTTTGAACTGAGACTTAGCTGTCTTGTTCGTGACGTGAGTATAATAGTTTCTACCTCATAAGGTTGTTGTGATTAAATAAAATGATGCCTTTTGTGTAATGCATTCAAAACAACTTGCAGCCTCTGGTTTTGATGCCGATTATTTGAAAAGCAGTAATGTGTTATGCGTGCTTAGGAACGTGACATCTCCACGTCTGACCAGAATATCCACCCAAACTCCCTTTGGTGGTTTGGTTTTTTTTCTTTTGTTTTGTTTTTCTCCTTCAGGGTTTCCTAGTCTTGAACTACTGGCTACATGGCTACCAAATGCCTAAGGGAGTTCTTCACAGCTGAGTTATGAAGCTGGAATTGGTTCTAGACGCTGGGTAGATGCAAAGCAGCCTAACTCTTCAAGTACCGACATTTCTCACCTGCAGTTCCGGCTCCACTTTGAGAAGGATACCTTAGCTTTACTGACTACAAGTAGGACAGAAGACCATTTTCTCCCCCATCCGTGAAAAAGATCTAATGCTTCAAATGTAAAGTGTTCACATAAAAGGAACGTACAGTCTATTTCCCAGAAGTAAATCGATAGTCAGGAGAAGACTTGGCCTCTAATTTATATGCTTTGCACTTTGGTCTGATATTAAGAAACAGCATTGTTCTTCGGTGAAGTTTCGGGTGCCAAACACCTACCCAGCATGCCCAGGGCTGTCCTTCTCAGAAGTGAGCGCGCTCCTTTGTCCACGTTGTGTGGAATCCCGACTTACGTTAGGAACATGTTGGACAATGGAAAATCCCTCTGGATGGCGTTAGTCATATTTTTTTGGATTACACTTCCTTTCTGTACCATTTCTTTTAATTTAAAGAACTATAATCCAGGTTATATTATCTCCCAACAGGTAATATAGCTTTTTTCTTTTATTAACTGTTCTCTGTACCCCGACCATCTCCTGATGTTTGGTAGAATAACACCTTTACACATGTGCTTGCCTCCTAATTTAAAATACTGTACCCGCATGTAGATATAATGTACATAACAGTTTAACCTCAAGGTTGCTGGAGCCAGGGCCCCCATGCCGGAGACACTAATACACAGTGTGTTCACACTTGGCCATGGGCTGGGCTCGAGAACCGATACCAGGGTTGACGTGGATTACCTAGAACCCTTCCTGCAGTATTCATATGGTGTTTTTATTTTGTCATCGTCATTGTGTGTGTGTGGTGTGTGTTTTTACTGGGAACCTTGTTTTAAAATGTAATTTCTAAAGTTTAACACAGAATGTTTATTTGTTGTGCAGTATATGCAATAGAGAGAGGTACCTTAACATTTTTTTCTTGTTCTTTTCCTCATAAGTACTCCTGAGTGTACTGGTGGTCACTTCTCATAGTATTCATTTGACTTCACTGTACCAAATTATTATTCTGTGTGTTAACCCTGGGGAGCGAAGAACAGCAAGGCCCTACCGACGGGGTTTCCTGGCTCTAGAATTCCAGCCCCCTGGCCTGTCACGATGGTCACAGGCCCTGCACGTTGGAGCCCATGTACCAGGTCGGGCTGGTTCCGAGGCCCACCCGAGCGGAAGGGAACGCCTACGTGGGCGGAGCCGGCAGCTCAAGAATCCCATCCCGTCATCTCTGCTGTCACCTGCTGCTGGGGGCCTGGCAGGTTGTCAGAGCCCCCGAGTGCACAGCAGCCTGAATGTGTGAATGGCTCCATCATGCTGGCCTGGCACGGAAAGGACTTTGGCATCCGGCTGGCACTCCTTTCCCCTTGTTCAATATTAGGTTTGATTTGCCCCTTGCCATTGTTTCCAAAGATCAAGGAATGTCAATAACATTTTAAAGGACCAATAAGAACCTCCTGTTAATTAAACCTCTTCCCGTGGAAGCACACTCTACTACTCAAGGGAAGGGCCCTGGGCTCTGTTTTGTCCTTTGCATTGAGAACGGTGTGGGGATCAATGTGTGTGTATGTGGTTTGTGTATTGGGTTGGCTTTGCTCCCCCCCCCCCTTTTTTTAAAAGATACATCCTTCCCTCCCACATGTAACTAAATTAATTTCTATTTTTGAGAAGTTGAGTCTCAAAGTGTAAAAGAATAAGCCTCCATTCATAAGGTAGATGTTGTAAGCTTGACAGCGGTTGTGAAAGTGATGTAACTTTTACCATTCTTCATCTTACAGCTTTACTAGCAAACTGGTTAGGAGAGCCCGGGGAGGGGGCGGGGGGAGGGGAGGAGGCAATTCTTCTGAACGAATGGACTTTTTGTTGTTGTTTTTGCATGTTTCATATAAAAGTTCTTGTTCCTTGGGAGATCATAGCCTTTGAATATGCACACACGACCTTTGAATTGTGCCTACTAAGTTATATCAGGGGACTTTGGCACCCAAGGAATTCTGACTTTCTGGGATTATAGTAGTAATTCCCAGCCATACTCTGGACTTTATTTTGCTAACCATAATTGAGCAACTGTAAATTACTGCTATATTAATGTTTTAAAGCACTGGGATAGTCTAATTCTAACTTGTAATTAATTATGTTTGCCAATTATCTGTTTGAAATTAATTTGTGTCTGAACAGCTATTGAAACTGTTAAATTGTACAGATATTATTCATGACAGCTTTGTACTGTGGAATGTGCTTAATAAAAAACAAAAAGTTGACCTCTGTCCAATACATTGCTAAGTAATGTCTATAAATCAAGTGTGAGCATTATACAGCCCATCTAATCTGCCTTCATGCAATTGTTACTTCAGCTACTAATTCAAAGCCAATACCCTTAATAAAGTGTTGCAATACTCTGATGTTCTGTTAAGACATTTTTCAAAAAAAAAATCTCACGTGCTATTAGCAATTCAGTGACATACAAGTAATGGTTATAGATTTCAAAAAAATCACCTGCTCTGTATGCTAGGTTGAAAGCAAACTGCTTTGGGCCTGTGAGAACTTCTACGACACAGTCCATGCCCTGGGGTCTTTTGCTGACAGTTAACTTGAACCTCAGGCACTGAGGCTAGTTCAGAACTCACCACAAATTTGCTTCCCCACACTACTGCACTGCTTCACCAGTTACTGTAAAAATAGGAAAGTGGCCCCTTAAATGTCCCCTGTGGCTCTGTGTGTTTGTCTCTGGTTCTTGAGGATGGAGAGGTGACAAGTGCACCTGCAGCTGGTCCCCTACGCATCGGACATGGCGTGGCTCCGTTTTCCACATTTGCAGCTTCACACATTTGGTTGGGGACTAAAGCAGAACAGTCAGTACTTGCAGGATTCTGCTCCAAAGTCTCAAGAAGTAGCAAGTTTTCTGGATAACTAGGACCCCCCCCCCCATTAATCAACCGAATTGGTAATGTGGACTCTGGGGACGAAATTAGAGTATTTCTTACACAGTATTGCCCCCACCCTCTTTTCTTGTAAAAAAAAGTTTTCCAAATCTGTAACATGCATATGGTTAAGAAAACCAATTTACAAACCATAAAAAGATGGGCAAAAAGTGATTCTTCCTTTCATTCTTGACTCTCTGTCCTCCACTCATTGTTAACCACTTTTGTGCATATCCTATGATGGGTAATACTCTGTGTATAAGGGGTTGTGTATGCGCGAGCGCGCGCGCGCGCGCGTGTGTGTGTGTGTGTGTGTGTGTGTGTGTATGTCTGTGTACACAGCTAAATAAATTATTGTGCATCCCTACAGCACACGCACATGTCGTGTCCCCCACATTTTAACGTTGTTAATGGTAGCATGCTCTGTGTGCTGTGCTGCACCTTGCTTTTTCATCTGATATTCTTCAGGAGGCCAGTCCATATCATTCTACCTCATTCTTGCTCATGGCTGCACGGGATTTGGTTAGGAGGATGTACCCTCATTTGTTTAGCTAGTTCCTTGAGGGTGGAGTTTTAGGTGGTTTCTGGCCTTTTCCTGTCCTTTTTCACAGCTCTTTCCATCCCTCTCTCTGTTCAGCACGACAAACTTGGTGATATGGGGCTGATTCTTACGAACAGATGTTCAGTGCCGCTGCAGAGTGGGCAGAACCTCAGTGTCGCACTGGACTGTCACCTCTCCAGACTCCTACCCTTGCATAGCTGGTGTTCAGTAAAGATTAGTTTTTTTCTTCCTCGATAGGTGAGGTGTTACTGTGAGGAATGCGAATTCATCCCATATTGATAGAAACTCGAAGAGGTTTTGTAGAGCTTGGGTACATATCAGAGACTAGTGTGTCTTTGTTATATTGGCCAGTTTGTTTTCCAGTTACTAAGGAGAAGGGAAGTTGGGCGTCTAGCCGATACTCCTGTTACTAATTAGCTGTGTGGCAATGCCCACTTTGGGGTCTTTAGCTTTCCTGTGTGTAAGGGACGGTTTCACTAGTTCAAGTCCTGGAGGGCGCACGGCCCAGCTCTGGACGATCTGTTGCCTTGCAGGAATGCAGGCCCAGTGATGGCAGGTCTGCATTTTCGAAAAGCTGGACATCCACATTAAGTAGAAACCCAATTTATAAAAGTTGGGAGGTTTTTTAATTTAGCAATTTGCTGGAGCACGTTTCCCCCTCCGAACTAACATGATTTTAAGCATTTCTAATAGTGAGCTGTGGAAACATTGTGTCCAAGTTGGGCCCCTGAACTCTGGAAGAACAGATGAGATTCCAGAGAAAAGGAACAAATGATATGCCTTGTGACAAAGCGACGAGCACACGGTAGCCACTCAATAGTTTATGAAAAATGACCGAAAAGGGGAGGTGTTCAAAAAGACAAGAGGAAGAGAAAGGGGCCAAGAGCTGGCAGCACGATCTTCAGTCCCGTTGTGAGTGCTCAGACCAGCTGCCTGCGTTTGTGCTGGAATTGAGTTCACATTAAAGCAAGGCAGGCTTTTGGCCTAAAATTGACCAGGTCTTCCAGCTGGAGAAAACAAGGGGCTCCAAGATCTCTAAGCTCCAGCTTGTTTGTTGCACAAAGCTGGGTCTAAAACTTAACAGATACTCAATAAACATCTGGAATGACCTGCCCAAAGATGGGACGATGGACCCCACACAGCAAGTGCACTGAAATCCTAATTCAGTGTCTCAAAATGGTTATTGGGTATGTGGAGCCATGTGAAAGAACTACCGTGCAGTTCATAGGTAACTTCTCTGTGTGAGCAGGGTAACCTGGAAAGCAGAGTCCTATCAGAGTTGTATTGTTTCCTCACTTTCAGCCTTGTGGCCGTCCACTCATCCTGTCTCCAGGAATGGCTTAATTGCATTTCTCAGAGTAGGTGTGTGACTGTTAGGCTGGGAGAACCCCGGAACGACAAAGCCGGACTTCACGTGTCGCGGGCATGCCCTAGGAACAGCTTCAAGCGGATGGTCTGGGGGAGACCTCTGTGAGGACAACTTAAGCTCCCTCTGCCCTTCACCTCTATCTTCGATCCAACGGACCGTTCCCTTCTCGTGGGGCTGTGTTTTCCTCCCAAACACCCTGCAGCTTTGGTGGGTGGGAACGGAACGCTCTTAGAACACCCAGCCTTTGGATCTTGATCGAGACCACTTTACGGGGGTCACTGGTTTACTGGATGGCACAGCAAACCATGAACATTGGGGCTGCCAGACCTAGCTTGAGGTTGGAGCTCTGCCTAGTTGGCAGCGTGCCCTGTGGGCAAGGGCATTCCAGCCCTGAACCTGAGCTTGCTCGCCTAGGAAGTGGAGACAGTGTTTGAAGATCACTGTAAGGATTAATGGCATAATCTAAAGTGCCTAGCACAGCGCCTGATACATGATAGGCACTTGGTAGCTTCAACAATGGCATTTAAACATATGGGTCAGAATGTCCGGAAGAGAAAGTTATAAGGGTTTGTAGGGTTTGGGGTGGTGGAGATGGGATGATGCTAAATGTGCTCAGGCAGCCTAGGGCTTGTCTGAGCTGCTTGGGAAATACAAGAGCTGACACTTGGTCCCCAGTGAGAGAGAACCTAGGACTGAAGTTAGTAACCAGGGCCTGGGCTGTTCAGTGGGTGGAACAAAGAGAGAGGGGCCAGGTGAACAGTGTTTATACCTAGTTGGGTGTTTTTTTGTTGTTGTTAATTTGCTATTAAGAATAATTCAGCTTTAAAAGCGGTCAACCTATCATAGCTCCAGGAAGTGTTTCTGGGAGGAGAATGAGACCTCAACATGCCACCATCCTCAGCGAAGCGTGGCATCTCCAAAATGGATGGGTTCGTGTTGTGTCCTCAGTGTGTGTGGAGGGGGGGGGGGGCGGGGGGGGGCCCTGCCTCTCCCTGCTCCATGGGCACCGTGATGCCAGCAGTCTCCCTGAGGAGCCAGGCCTCACGCTGGGCAGCCCTCATGCATTAACAGGCCCTCTGCACATCTCGCCCCGCCCCCACTGGTGTGCCTCTGGCATATGTCCTTTGGTCATTAATAAATGTATACGGCGTGCCCCCAGCCATGCACAGAGCACGGTGGAGTGCGAGGAGCCAGGCAGGATGGGTGCCAGGGGACTGCCGGGTGGGCCATGCTGAGACAGAGCGGGGGCTCCATCCTGGCGGCAGTGGGCAGCCGCTGGCAGGTTCTAAGCCAGGTGTGACCAGTTAGGAAGTTAGTGTCGAGATTCAGAGGAGAAATGTTGAAGTCAAAATAAGGCAGAACACGCAGGGAGTGAGGGGTTGGTTTTGGGGGCCGTTGAGGAGATAGGAACCCTGGGACTTGGTTGAGGGGTAGGAGGGGCTGTTTAGTGTGTGTCTCCTATGAGCCACTAGGTGGGGACTGTGATGGAAAGGAGACTGTCCCTGCTCTCAGGAAGCTTACATTCCGGAAGGAATAGATAATATGCAGCCTGTGCCCGGACACACACGAATTCACAAGGTGAATTCAGATTGTGATAAGTGCTGTGAAGATGACATGGGGCTGGGGGGTGGGTCACAGCGGCCTGGGGGACATTTGCGCCAAGGTTTCAGCAATAAGCAAGGAGCCAGCCAGAGATGCAAAGGCCTTGAAGTGGGAATGTCCCTGGACCAAAGTGGCCGGAGGGTGCTTGGTCTCCCAGAGAAGGGAAGGGGGGTGGGTTGAGGTGATGCGTTTGCGTTTGGACATCGCAGGTGTCGGAGAGATAGTCCAGTGGCAATAAAGGGCCAGACATTGAGTCGGAAGGACTTCGCATTTAGGAAGAGGGCGCAGGAGGACAGCCAGCCAGCGACAAGGCAGAGGAGGAGCGGCCGGAAAGGTAGGGGCGTGATAACCCGCAGTCTTGGCGGGGCCCGGGTGACGCTCTCAGCACTTGGAAAACGGTCCTTTCCAAACACTTGCCTCCCAGCTGCCCGGGCCTCCTGGGGAACAATGCCTGTCCACTCATTCCCACGTCTGTCTTCCAAGCCAGCGCCGCACTCCCCTCGCCGCAGGCCCCTGCCCCTTCGGGTCCTTGGGCGCGCTCTCTTCAGCCCATCTGCACAAACAGACCCGGGCCAGGTCTGCGCCTCAGGAATGAGGAGATAAAAGGGACCATCGGGGCTTTTTCCACCAAAGGCGAAAGCATTTTATAGAACGGGCTGCGAGTTTTTGTTTCAGGAAATTTCATCATGTCTCCAAGAAGGGGAGGGGAGAGAGAGAGAGAGGGAGAGAGAGAAAGTAATTGGCCTCAGATTTTCTCACTCCCTTTTCATGTTGGTAACAGGAGGCGGCCCAGGTCAGCCTCAGGTCAGCGACGTTTGGGCTCTTTAGTGCCCCTCTGTGAATACCTCAGTTCTGTAATAGTTTTTCCTTTAAAAACAGCTCTGCCTTCTTTGGCAGATGGTGACATTCCATTAGCATATGGAATATTTTTCAAAACACATCCGAAAG